AAAAAAAATGAGACTCATAACCATTGAGTTGGCTGATTCACAGCATCACTATAGAACAGGGCAGACCTGCCCGTGAGGGTTTCTGAAACAGTAACGCTTTATTTATGGGAGTAGAAACCTCATCTTTCTCCTAGCGATTAGTTGGTAGTTTTGAACTGCCTACTTTGACTGCCAGACCTGAGACCACTGTCTGTGGACAGCCCAACATTAACCACTATACCACCAGTACTCCTCACCAGGACTCCTAGAGGTAGGGTTAAATTCTGACCTTAGTAGAGGGAGGGAACAAAGTTACACCCTTTGTTTCCTTCTCAAAACTCACTGCTAACTTATGGTGACCCAGTAAGAAAAGGTATAATTGCCCCTGTAGGTTTCCCAGACTGGAACTATTTATATGAGTAGAAAGCCTCATCTTTCTCCTGGGGAGTAGCTGGTGGTTTTGAACTACCAACCTGGAGGTAGCAGCCCAAGACATAACCCCCTACACCACTAGGGCATCTTTAGACTCGACTTGATCAGAGGGTGTGACTTAAGGCACCAACTTTTATTTTCCTTGGGGGTATGCTAGGCTAAGAGACAAAAAGTGCACCTCCATCAAAGCCATTCCTTGGTGTCTAAGAGCCATGCGAGGCGAAGGGGAGGCCCAGGACTGGCTAAGGAGCACATTCCCGGTCTCTGCCTTAAGTGGTGGAGGTTGAATGGTTGCTGTCAGAGTAGGTCAAGGAGGATAGCATGTGCAAGCTCGGCTCACCCCTGTTTCAGAGCAATAGAGGTACTAGAGACTGTGGCCCTGGGGCTACTGGATAGAACAAGAGGAGAAATTCTGAGACTATGGGAACACGTAATAGAGCAACAGGCGGGCTTCCTGGTCCTAGCCAAGGAACCCAGAAGCTGAGAGGTGAGGAGCAGAAAGTGAGATTTGCTTGCTGGCTGAGGTGAGGCACTGTGATCCAGTGATGGTGTCCTTACAGTTTACTGATCTTGACTTGCAGTAACCTACTAACTTCTCTAATAAATGAAGACCAAATTCAGAGCCATTGAGTCAAACGAGACTCATGCCAAATCTGCAGGACAGCATAGAATTACCCCTGTAAACTTTCTAGGAGTAGAAAGCTTCATCTTTCTCCCAAGGAGCAGCTAGTGGTTTTGAATGGGCAGCCTTGAAGATAGCAGCCTAATGTGTAGCCAACTATGCTACCAGGCCTGTGACTATTGTCTGTGAGTTCTGTGGTCATTGCAATGCATTATCAAACCCAGTATCGATGTAGAGTGGCTTGGGGGGAATAGTTGCCATCAGGGGAGGTGAAGAAGGATAGAGTCTGCAAGCTGGTTGACCCCTGTCTCACATCAATAGAGAAGGCAGAGGAGGTCACATATGGTCCCCATGCCCTTTACTGGAGAAGTACAAATTATAATTAGAAGATGGTTCACACACACACCATTGAAATGGCGTAGGTACCATTTTATAAAGCAAAGGTGCTCTAATACGATTCAATGTTCGGTGTTCAGTGAAGACATTGAATGACAGATTCCAGTAGGTATAATTTAGATGCAACACAGATGAAAATAGTTGTAGGTAACACCAAGTTCACCATTAAAAGGAGCATGATATATAGAACTAAGGAGGTGACAGTCCTGTCTCTTTCAGTTCTTCTACAGCTATGCAGGGAGTAAAGAATTGGAAATTTAGTCGTCAAAGTTTGAGGTCAGCAGCTTAGAAATAAAGTTCAGATCAGTCTAAGAATAGGAAAACAAGACCCTGGTATTTTAATGCTTTCTTAGAATCAAGAAACAAAATTTTGTAAAGAAAATGAAATCTGTATGTACTATTGTCAGGACCTACCAGGTAGCTCGGAGGACCTCTCAGAAGCTGGAAGAAATGGTCTTTTGTTTGCCGACTGGAACTGAAACGATCAAAACTGGAACCTGAGAAATGAGAGATTTGCTCTTGCAGACCCTCTCCATTGTGGTCAACTGGATTCCAATTCATCACGATCCTATAATCTTCCTCATTGCCATCGAGTTAATTTCAAGTCACGGACATCCTGGTGGTGTCGTGGTTACATGTTGGGCAGCTAACCTCAAAGTCAACAGTTCGAAGCCACCAGCCACTTCATGGGAGAAAGAAAAGATTTCCTACTGTCTCAGAAACCCCCAGGGGCAGTTCTACCCTTTTCTACAGGGTTACTGTGAATGACGCTATCCCAAATTGCCACATAGATTTTCCAAAGCCGTCATCTTTATGGAAGCAGACTACGACATTTTTCTTCTACAGAGCAGCAGGTAGATTCCCACGGACATTTTTGTGATTAGTAGCTAAGTGCTTAACCCTTGTGCTACCAAGACTCCTTCATGCGCAAGTCAAGACCCATCCTCAAATTTTTCTCTATGATTCTAACATATCATAGCCACTATACAATTCATCCACTACACTACTTGTCAGTCAGTTTGTCCTACTGTGGTGGTGCTGAGCTGTTGCAAGCTATGTCAGCAGCATTTCAAATATGCGCAGGGTTACCTACAGTGAACAGGTAGAGCTTTCAGATTAAGAATAGGCTATGGAGAAGGAATAGCTCATCCACTTCTGAGGGATTAGCCACTAAAAACCTTCTCAACAACAGCAGAATATTACAGCTATGTCAGAAGATGAGCCCCCAGGTTGGGAGGAAGTTGAGGAAGTAGAGGGTTCAGCTTCCTAGAGGTAGTAAAGGGTTCGGCTCCACGAGGGTCAGCAAAAGAGAAGACCTTCAAGCACATCGATTGAGCCAGTGGCTGTAACAGTGGCACAGGACAAGAAGACGATGCCTTGTTCTGTTGTCTAAAGGGTCACTGGCAGTCAGAATCCACTCAACAGCATCTAAATGCAACAATGTAAGAGGCACACTTGAACTGGAGGACAGTGAAGTCACATGAAGATGCTATGCTAAGCAGTCAGCTGGGCTCACAGGATGGCCTTTCTCACAACGTAGGACATATATCAGTGTGCTTCAATTCCCTTCTTAAGGGAAAAGCCATTATCACGAATTTTCCTGAAGTTCCATTGTAATTGTCTATTGTATATGTAATTGTCTATAAAACACATAACTTTTTACAAAGTAAATATATGAAGAGTTTGTTTTGAATATCTGAAATCATTTTGATTAAATGAGAAGAAAACAAAAAGTTGTAGCCTAATTAAGGGCTTTCACAGCTTAAGGGCCATGAAGAAACAAGGGTGGGCAGCCTAAGTGAAGTCTTACAATGACAGATGTAAAAGTTCAGAAAGTTTACAATTCCTGACTGTTCACCAAGGAAAACAGTGCTTTGAGAATCTGAAAAACAAGACTGTATCAGATTCTCAGAGCTCAATGATACTTTATCTTTGTCACAAATATGTTCACCCACGTATAACACACATAGACAAGTTAACATGGAAGGGGTTATATGACTGGCAAAAATGATGACTTATTGGCATAAAAATATGATAACCCTTTAATTTCACCTAATGAATTCCACTTGGCAGACTCCGTGCCCATGAAGAAAACATGGTCCTCCACGGTAGCATTGCTAGGTAACACACGGGCTACACACCGGGCAGGATTCGAATGATATGAATGCCGATACATTAAAAAATTGTCATTTGGGCTTACATACTCATTGATTGGGAATTTGGTTAGTGTGACCAAGTTCTGAAAAGAACGGGTAAACCCTGGCCTCACTGATAAAATCTACTCAGATCTCAAACCCTAAAAAGTTGAGGATCACACCCTGTCAATGCAACTTTGAAACTTGCCACATGGAGGCCTGTCCTAAGCAGCCTCTGGCCTTCCTAGAGGATGGCACATCGGGTTTCCTCCAAAGTCTAAGATGCAGACATGTTATGAAGCAAGGCCTTACCTGAAGTCCTTATTTTAACTCTCCATATATAAGTTAAATAATGGAAAATGTTAGTCACATAAAACAAAAACTCAGCTAAACTCACAAATATGAGTTTGGGATGTATAGCCTAATAAATCATTCTGCATGGGGGGGGGGGACAACAAAATTAGGGTTCATGGATGTGTAAGTCATAAAAGTGAAACATAAAAAATATCCATATATTGAACCACAAAGAAGTAATTTATATAAGCAATATTATACAATAGCCATTAAAGTAACATTCGCACCTATTAAGCAATATTATGAAAATGTGTTCACAAAGGGAGAACACCATATATATGCACATATAATGAAATAAATACAACATGATGAACTATCTTGGAGGAATAAAAGATAAAACATATAGAGGAGTCACTTAAATAAATCATATTTAATTACTGTAACAGTGAAAAAATAATGAAGTGAAAAGTAATCACGCTAATCCAGATTTCTTCCTAAGTGCTTGATTTGGGTTATTAAGAAAAATGAAAATTCCATCATTCTGCATTAACTTGTGACTAGAAATAGTAAGAGCTACTGATCTGATAGACAGAATGTACTCTGAAAGATAAAAATTATCCATACCGTGGTTTAGATTTTCTGATAACTTGCTGTTTATTTACAGGAACCATTTCTTAACTGAAAAAAAGGTATGTGTGGTGGGGGGGGGAGGGGCAAGCCATAATACAGTTTGTATTCCACCCTTTTGAAAACTGTATAGAATTAAAGATTTCATATAAAACAGGCTCAATTTTGACCAGCCAGAAATAGCTGTCTTGTCAAAAATAATTCTATAGCAAATAGAGGCGGCTTCAAAAAGTTTGTGGCAAAGTGAAATTAAAAGATAATGGAATTTTTCCATAAGCTCTTTGAAGCTCTCTCGTGTTTGCCATAGAATTCTTGTTGGCAAGACTGTTATTTCTGGCTTGTTGAAACTGAACCAGTTTCACCCAGAGAACTATCCTAATTCACCAAGATCACTGGGATGCTAAGTGTGCCGAAGGCTTATATCTGCTGATATCTAAATACTGTTTTATCATGAAGGCAGATTATGTCCGGCTGGTGTTGACCATGTTGTTGCTGGGCAGTCGCTTAATTTGAACGTACCTGATATGAAGATCCCACCTGCAGTCCAGGAGAAGGTCCTGGCCCAAGCTGGTAGGAGCTAGAAGACCGCTGCTCTACAATTTTGTGCTTGTGTATTTCTGAGGCAACTAGAAGTGCAGACTCAGGCTTTGGAAGCTGGGCATCCTCGCAACAATTAAGAATAATTCTTGCTCTTTCTCCTGTTTCATGTCTTTCCAACGTGCCTGGAAAACGAGGTTAAAGATTTTAAGATATGCAAAATATTAATAACAGTAGAGTCTACGGGTAGGGGATGAGTGGCCATTCGCGTTATGATGCCTTACTATCTTCTTTGCTTCTGGGTGCCCTCCCTGATTGATTCAAATCAGCCTCTTACAAAGGCTGAAATCCTGGACTCAAAAAGCTCTGTGCTTTTTCATCTACTGAAATCAACAAGACCTTCAAGAGTTTTTAACCGTAAAATCTTTTCCTTATTATACAGGATTGTGAGTGATCAATAACACAGAACTATGGAATATTTTAGTGCTGTCCCCTAGTGTTCAACACATCAACAACAGAGAATGCAGCTTTGCTTGTATTCCCAGGACTAAATGTCACCATTGGAAATATATCATGTCATTGTACACCACCCTCACTCAACTGCCTTCACATCTTCACAAATTCACGCACCTCTAGAGTTAGGTTGTTGTTGGGGTTGTGAGCATTAATGTTGTTTTCCTTTGGCTTTTATTTTTCATGCTACTATTAGAAAAAAAATTATCTGCCCTCTTACTGCCATTCTTCCATAGGTTCAGAATTTAGGGCTGCTACAAGTTCAATTTCACATTAAAAGGAACAAGTAACAAATAGTGTAAAAATATCAGAAAGCAATTTACAAGGAGTTGTGTTCTTATAAAATAGACTGCCATACACAGATTGAAATCTGAATAGCTATGAATTAATCATGACCACTGTCTCTTATACCAGTGAAGAATTCATTTACATTATTCATACTATATTACACATATAACATATCTTATTGAGTAAAGACACAACAGACAATTGACTTGACATACTGTCACTAAATACAAATTTCACTTGCATCATTTCTTTCCTACCAGTGAGATAGTATGTGAGCTATTTGTGAAGAAAGAAAAAGATTATTATTACTGATTATAAAATATTATTAACTATAAAATAGAAAGGAGAAGCATTGTAAAGTAATTCTTATCAGTAAGAATACAGAAATAACAATTGTATAATAAAAAGTCTTCTCAAGAGAAGCAAGGTAAGTAGATAGGTAATCAATGACGACAAATAGATACATGGATATGGTGCTTCTATGGATCCATCTCTTTCTCATATTTACTGTTCTCTATCAACTTTTGCTGCAACCTATGGCACAGTGACTATGCACTTGACTGCTCACTGAGGGATAAGCGGTTCAAACCCACTAGCTGTTCCATAGAAGAAAGATGTGGATGTCTGTGTTCATAATGATTTATACCCTTAGAATCTCTAGGGAAATCCCCCCCTATTTTTTAAAATCATTTTTGGGGGGCTCTTACAGCTCTCCTAATAATCCATGCATCACTTGTATCAACACACTTGTATATATGTTGGCATCATCATTTTCAAAACATTTTCTTTCTACTTGAGCCCTTGTTATCAGTTCCTCTTTTCTCCCTCCCCACCCTCCCCTTCCGCCCTCAGGAACCCTTGAAAAATTATATTTTATTATTATTTTCATATCTTACACCATCTACTGTCTCCCTTCACCCACGTTTCTTTCATTTGTGCCCATCAGGAAGGGTCATATATCTATCATTGTGATCGGTTCTCCCTTTCTCCATCCACCTTCCCCTTACTCTCGTGGTATTGATACTCCCATTACTGTTCCTAAAGGGTTTATCAGTCCTAGATTCTGTGTGTTGGGATCTCTTACCTGCACCAATGTATGTACTCCTGACTAGCTGGATTTGTAAGGTAGAACTGGGGTCATGATAGTGGGGAGTCAGGAAGAAGCATTAACGAACTAGAGGAATGTTGTGTTTCATCGGTGCTATACTGTGTTATGGCTGACTCATCCCTTCCATATGACCCTTCTGTGACGGGATATCCAATTGTCTACGGATGGGCTTTGGGTCTCCACTCAGACCCCCCATGTTTGCATCAATATAATTGTTTGTTTTGATTTTCTGATGCCTGATACCTGCTCCCGTGGACACCCCTTGTGATCACACAGACTGGTGTGCTTCTTCCATGTAGGCTTTGTTGCTTCCCTGCTATATGTCTGCTTGTTTAACTTCAAGCATTTAAGACCCCAGGTGCTATATCTTTTAATAGCTGGGCACCATCAGCTTTCTTGCCCACATTTGTTTATGCACCCATTTTGTCTTCAATTATTTTGTGGGAAGGTGAATATAGTAGAATGCCAGGTTATTAGAATCAAGTGTTCTTGTGTTAAGGGAGAACTTGAGTAGAGGCCCAAAATCCATCTGCTACCTAAATATCTAATATGTAAATATATGTACATAGACCTATGCCCCTATCATTATATATTATATATTACTATATTTCCATATATGTGTCTATATATATATACTTCTATAAATGGCTTTTACCTGCTAGTTCTTTCCTCTGTTTCCTTTTACTTTTGTCATGTCCCACTATCATGTATGACCCTCATTCAGCTCTCAGCGAGTCATCTCAGGTATATTGCAGTTGATCAAATCCCACCAGGCATTTTATACCCTCCTTGCCATTGATTTTAGATCCCTTGCTGTTCCTTGTCCCTGTGGTTGCTGGCTCTCCCTCCTCTTCTCCCACATCTCTCCAGAACCATTGGTCCCAATGTTTTCTCTTCAGGATTGTTAATCCTGCCTATTTTATCTTGATAGACATAAAAATAAAAATTTTTAAAGCTTATAAATTGTTCCAGATATGTCTGCTAACCCTTATGAATGTTTTCCAATCAGGTCTGATGAGGTGCCAAGCCCTGCCCCCTGAGACGGAAGTGTATTGGGGGGATTCTTTAGGGACATTGTTGCTTTGCTCCCTTCCTGCTCTGTTACACTCCCTTCATGCTTTGCCCTGCTGAGTGAGGGTTGGACAGGGCACAATTTATGGCAATTCTACTTTGTTCTACAGGATCGCTATGAGTTAGAATCAACTGGAGGGCAATGGGTTAAAGTACCATCACATGGTAATTTAGATTCCAAAACAGTAACCGGTACTATGTTAAAATAGTAGGCAGAATTTAACTTCTCATTTTATAACAATGTTAAATTTTCACTAACAATTCTTTCATAAACATTTTTAGCATATAAAGCTCCGAAGCGTGGTTTTATTCTAAGCTTCCCCTTCTATCACGTTTGGGATGTCTTCAATAAATGAAGCTGTATAAGATATCAAGAAAACCATCCCCATAAGAACACCATCAAACATAATGAAAGGCATTCACACTGCAGAAGACAAAATACAGGACCTTCTAAAACTATGAAACTTTAAACCAAGTGAACAAACAAACTCACCACCATCGAATCAATGCGGACTCATGGCAACCTGCTGTGGGTTTCCAAGGCTAACTATTTACAGGAGTAGAAAGCCAGTTTTTCTCCCAGGAGTGGTTGGCAATTTTGAACTGCCAACCATGTGGACTGAACTCCAACTTATAATCACTACACCACCAGGGCTCTTCTATGTACATCAAAAGAGTAAAACGTAACCCATTTATTGGGAAAAAAATATTTCACAATGATATATCAGATATAAAGACCTAAAAAAATCTACAGAAAATTACAACAGTTTTAATAAGAAAAAGACAATCAACCCAATCAAGCAAGGAGCTCAATAAATGAATAAACAATTTACTAAAGATGACATTCAGGCAACCAGCAATTATATGAAGAAATGCTCAATAAGCCATAAGAGAAATACAAATTAAAATAACAATGAGACACCACCTTAAACCAACATTTTTAGCAAAATTCAAAACTACATGAAAATGTAAATTCTGGCAAGTATGTGGAGAAATTGGAACATTCATATATAGATGGTGGGATTGCAGTATTATATAATCACTATGGAAAACAGTATGGGGCGTCCCTAAACAAATACCTTATGATCCTGCAATCTCTCTAATACCCTAAAGAAAGAAAGCACAAAACATGCATAGACATATGCACACCCATGCTTCTTGCAGCAATTCCTGTAACAGCACAAAGGTCGGAAGCCATCAAAAGGCCCATCTGTAGCGGAATGAATAAACAAACGGTGATACACCCACTCAATGAAACATTATGCCTCTTTAAAAATAATGATGAGGCTGCCAGACTCATAACGTGGACAAAATGGGAGAGCCCTGTGCTCAGCCAACTCAGCCAGCCCCCTAAAGGTCAATATTGCATGGCATGATTATTTTAAGAAAGGAAGTTCACTCCAAAGGAAAAGATTTTGAAGACTAACAGAGGCCAGGGACAGGGGGACTTGGGCAGAAAAGAAAGAGGAAGGGAGGGAAGGAGGGATGATGGGTGGGGGGGAAAGTAGAAAGAACCACCTACACAGGGGTTTACTGGGGCAATACAGCGTTTGGATAAGATGGTCAGTGTGACTCTATGTAATATGTTGTGTTGTGTTCCACAATTAAAGGGAGATAGAGTAATCGATAAATTGTTGTTTGAAGAGAAAAGGATCACAGTCTTACAAACCCCCCAGATCCTTTATCCATCAGACCTAAACAAAGAACAACAGCAAGAATTCCCTAAGCACAGAATCGTTACTGCTGCTTCCTGAACATGTGAGTTGCTGTAATAATTTGTAAACTGTAGCACCTGATCAAATCCATTGTCTTCCTGAGCAATCTCTCTTTAAATGTGAAATCATCATTGATCTTTTCTTCTCACAGATTTTCTGTGGCTCCTGAAACAATGATATTACAATAATATTTGGAGAATTCTTGGGAAAGAGTCTATTACAGATTAACATACATGTACAAGTTGGCCACAGTAAAACTGGCAGTTCAAGCCTCCCATGTGCCTCAGAAGACAGGCCTGCCTTTGAAAGGACAGTGTTGACAGCATTATGGGACAGGTTGTACCTTGCACTCGTGGAGTGGCCAAGAGTCAGCATCAACTTGTCAGCCACCACCACCACCACCCATACCGAACTCCGTACTCACTCTCTTACAAAAACACACCTATTTAGTGATACTACCATTATTCTTGTATTTTCCGGTGACAAAAAT